GCAAGGTTTTGTGCTTCGGTCAAGGTAATACCAAATATGTATACAAGCTGGTAGAAGAAATCCTAGAGTAGCACTGCTGAGAAGGACTTAGGAGTGCTGATTGATGAAAAACTTAACATGAGCCAGTAGTGTGCATTTACAGCCCAGAAGGCCACTGGTATCCTGGCTTCCACCAACGGAGGGATGGTGAGCAGGGAGGTGACTGTCCCCTCTACTCTGCCCTAGTGAGGCACCAACTGAAGTAGTGAGTCCAAGTCTGAGTCCCCCAGCACAGAAAAGCTGTGGAGCTTTTGGAGAGGATTCAGCGGAGGGCCACAGGGATGATCCACAGGCTGGAGCACCTCTTCTATGAAGAAAGGCAGAAAGAACTGGGCTTATTCACCTTGGAAAAGAGAAGATTTTCAGGACACGTAATTGCAGCCTTCCAGTATTTAAAGGCAATTAATTATCACGAGGGAAAACAACTTTTTACATGATAGGACAAGGGGTAATGATTTTAAACTAAAGAAGTGAGATTTAGATTGTCGGGAAAATTCTTTTCTGAGAGAGTGGTGAGCTGTTGAACAGGCTGCCCAGAGGGACTGTGGATGTCCCATCTCTGGTGGTCCTCAAGGTCACATTGGGTGGTGCCCTGAACAATCTGATCTACTACTCCATCTAGTGATTAACAGCCCTGCATGAAGCAGGGTGCAGAAACTTGGTGATCCTTGAGGTCCTTTTCAACTCAAGCCATTGTATGATTCTGATTCTATGAAAATGATGTAAACAAAGTTCTAGCTCTTCATGAGGTTGTCACCAGTATCCTTATAATTGAATTTGTGTTCTTGCTGCAAAGAAAAATGTTTACAGTTTTTTGTAAAACTTACAACAGAAAACAGAAGTTTCTGCCTAAGTGATTCAGAATCCCTAATAATCTTACATTGAACAGATACAAACACATACTTATTTCTACCACATTTATAACAGTAGCTGAAAGGAATGCTTGAAATTATTTGCCCAAAACCACAGTGATATTTGAAAATTTGTACTGAAACAGATTTATGTATGTATGTATGTGTGTATGTAATGGCAGTCAAGAAAGTCACCTAAATGCAACAGTGTATGTGGAAAATAAAGATATCAGATGAACTTGCTATTTTAGAAGCTAATAAATTGTCCTCATCATGTAGTGCTAGAAAACAGTCTTGGATGAAGCTGATATAAGGTGAAGAACAAAAAGATTTAAAGTATTATCTTAGTGTGACAATAGTTTACAGGCTGGTTTGACCCGATTCTATGACTAGCAGGGCAGGGGAACCCATGGATCCATGCCCTGGGAAAGGGAAAAGGGGGAAAGGGGAAAAAAGTAGAGAGATGGGCATAAAAAAAAACAGTGGCAATGATCTGAGGAGAAACAAACTAATTTACCAAATAAGGTATTGGAATGTAAGATAACACGCTATAATACAATATAATACAATATAATTGGAATTGAAGATAATAAATAAAACAAATTGAGAGAGAGTGTCAGAAAACTGAAGGCTTTACTCTAATGCGGAGGAGAGATGATCTATTCGGGACAAGCAGAAGAGAAAAGAGGGCGAGTCAAGTGATCTGCAAATGGTTTTTGTCTTTCCCTCTGAGCAGAAACATAACAGAGCAGTGAGCAGCCCTCTGGGAGATATAGTTCTTCTTCTCTTCTAAGACAGGTACCTGGAAGTGGAGAATTAACTCTTGTCACAGGGTTATCTCTAGATCGGTGTCTGTGACATGGAAGCACAGGCCCGGAAAAAAAAAAAGAAAAAAAAAATTGAAAAACAATAATAAAAAAAAATAAAAAGAGAGAGGGGGGAAAAAAAAAAAGCGCTAATGGCTTACAGGCCAGTCTGGCCCAGCCCAGTGACTAATGACTCACAGGCTGCAGAAGAAGGGAAAAGGGGAAAGGGCAGGGAAATAGTGGAAGGGTGTAAAAAAATAAATCAGCCGCCACCACCATGTGAGAAGGAACATTAATTCACTAAATACGATCACCGAATGCAAGATAACACATTGCAACACAAAATAATTGGAGTTGAGGCCAACAAATCAAATAAAATGAGAGAGTGTCCAAAACTGAGGCCTTACGCTATAGACTGCAGGGGGACCATGTGGTCCTCCACAGTAAACAAAAAAGAGAGAGACTGCTGACCTGCCAGGTAGCTCCACCTTTCTTAATCAGGGCACAAAGTCCTCTTGAGAATGACACTCCTCCCCTCCCTTCCAAGAACCAAAAATGCCCCAAAAAGGCAGTTTACAGAACCAGAACATTGGTTCTCTCACTGCTTTACGTAATGTTGTGATGTGGAATATTGAGAACAAAAAATCACTAAAGTGAGTTGTGGAATCAAACTCTATAGCCACAAGGTAGTTAAAAAGCAGGTATGTTACTCAGCACCACATGCATGCCGGGTGCAGAGGGGGGTAGCCCCTTCCTAGCCTGGACACCAATAGCAGGTAAACATCATTATTTATAGAAAGAATACATGCATATTCATAGTATTCCTAAGACAAGGAGTGGTTATTACAATTACTTTTGGGAATTCACTCAATATTCCATGCCCATTCTATGCCCTTAACTCCACGCCTAATTAGCACTTCTACACATGTGTGGTGCCTCCTGGTGGTGGTCCCAGAGGCTGTGGAGGGGGCTGCGGAGCTTGATGTCAAGTGAAGATAAGAAAGTATTTCAGACGACCTGTTGTTGAAGATACAATGGCAAAACAGATGCCTCAGCTCAACGTAGGAACTCGTTTGGGCTACCTCCCCTTAAAAGGAAATCTACAGCTAGAATGACTTAATCTTTCTCCCACGACCACCAAATATGTTAGTTATTTCTTGGAATTTCTGCCCATGTTCTTGGAATATAATGATCATGTATATGCTGCACCTTTAAATATGTAGTCATTGCTTCTCTCGGTGTGCATGCTCAGTGGGAGCAATCCTCCATGCACCCAGCGATGTAGTAAAGGGAATACCTTCTTGACATAACTCATTGTCATGTCAAGTTATTTTGTCGGTTTTCTTGGCTTCTGTGACTTAACAACCCCCCTCTCATTCTAGCATCTAACAAGTCAGAGAATAAATTTTTCCTGACATCCAACCAGAAAATTCCTTGGCACAACTTGAGGTCATTCCCTCTAGTCCCATTAATAGTTACATGGGAGAAGAGACTGACTCCCATCTCACCACAACTTTATTTCAGGTAGCTGGAGAGGGTGACAGTGTCTCCCTGAGCTTCTTCTTCTTCAGACTAAACAATCACAGTTCCCTCAGCCACTCCTCATAAGACTTATGCATCAGACCATTCAGCACCATTGTTACCCTTTTCTGAACCCTTCTCCAGGGTCTTGATGTTTTTCTTGTAATGAGGGAAACAAAACTGAGCACAGTACTCAAGATGTGGCCTCACCAAGGCTGAGTACAGAGGGATTATCACTTCCTTACTGCTGCTAGAAACAGTATTTCTGATACAAGCAGAATGCCATTGACTTTTCTTGGCCACCTGGGCACACTACTTGCTCATGTTCAGCCAAGCATTGACCAACACCCCCATGTCCATTTCTTCTACACATTCTTCCAGCCGCTCTGTTTGAAGCCTATACCATTGCCTGGAGTTGTTGTTGCCAAAGTGCAGGACACAGCACTTGGTCTTGTTGAAGCTCATCTCATTGGCTTCAGCCCAGCAATCCAGCCTGTCCAGATACCTCTGTAGTACCTTTCTACCTCAAGTTAAAATCACAGTTCTTCCCAGTTTGGTGTCATCTGCAATCTTCCTGAGGGTGCTCTCAATGCCCTCATCCAGGTCATCGATAGAGATATTGAAGAGGACAGGTCCAAATACTGAACTGTGGAGAATGCCACTCATGACTGGTCACTACTGGATGTAGTGGATGTAAACATATGTAACCATATTCAACACCGCTCTCTGGGCCCAAGCATTCAGCCAGTTCTTTATCCACTATCCCCAAGGCCCTCCTCTGCACCCTCTCCAGCAAGTCCTTGTTCTTAGGGCTTCAAGGAAGACGAGGGCCTGGACCATTACTCTTATGAAGAAAGGCCAAGAGATCTGGCACTGACAGGGATATCACCAATGCCTACAAATATTTAAAGCATTGCTAAAAAGACGCTTTGCAGTAGGACCCAGCAACAGGACAAAGGGCACAAACTGGAACACAGGAACTCCATATGAGCACAACATTTCTTTACTTTGATTGTGACAGCACACTGGAACCAGCTGCCCAGAGCAGTTTTGGAGTCTTCTTCTCAAGATATCCAGAACACACTTGAATGCTTTCTTGTGTAATCTCTTCTAGGAGACGTGCTTTAGTGAGGGAGAGGGTGGACTAAATGATATTCAGAGGTTCCCTAATACCCCTATGATTCTGTGGTTCTAATGTCGAAGGCACTACTACTGAACACAGTACCTCCCTTGATCTGCTGGCTGCACTTTTGATGCTGTGTAGGATATATTTTACTTTCTTAGCTGCAAGCACAAGTGCATGGCTCATTTTCAGTTCTTCACCACTATTTCTGTTTAACTAATTCTCTATATTCTTTATATCAATAACTATTTTCACTAATTCTCTAAATTATGTTCTACGTATTTTTATTATATATATGCCTATACATAGAATCAGTTTAGGAGAGTAAATCTGGAAATAAAGAAAAATGATGAGTGTAATTTCTCATTTTGTAAGAAACAATCATCAGATGATAAAGGATTTGTGTCTATCAGGAAGAGTGATGTGTCTTGAATGCACTATACGCTATACTAAAAATACGAATTATTCCATATCACAGGGAGAGTATTAATACGAACTTATTTTATCATTACCATAGCAGCAAAGGAGACTAGGGAACTTATATAATCCTAAAGTCTGAGTCTGGCAGCGCCCCGCCCCTCCCCCTCCGCACGCCCTCCCCGCCGCCACCTGCCGACCCTGCCGCCACAGCTGCTCCCGCTGCAGCAGCCGGGGCTCGAAACAAGAACTGCACACCATGTCTGCTGTTGCTTCCTCTAAAGAAGATACGATGTCATCTGAAAAAGCAGATGAGAAACAAGCTGAGGCTGAAAGCAAAGCTGAGGAAAGCGAGGAGGATGAGGAGGAGGAAGAAGAGGAAGAGGAAGAAAAGGAAAAGAGTCTCATTGTTGAAGGAAAAAGGGAGAAAAAGAAGGTAGACCGATTGACCATGCAAGTGTCCTCGTTACAAAAGGAACCTTTTACAATTACACCAGGAAAAGGACAAAAACTTTGTGAAATTGAAAGGATACAGTTCTTTCTGAGTAAAAAGAAGACAGATGAACTTCGGAACCTGCACAAACTCCTCTACAACAGGCCAGGCACTGTTGCTTCCCTAAAGAAGAATGTGGGCCAGTTTCAGCGGGTTTCCATTTGAAAAAGGAAGTGACCAATACAAAAAGAAGGAGGAGATGTTAAAAAAATTTAGAAATGCAATGTTGAAAAGTATCTGTGTGATTCTGTGATTCTGATTAAAATATGACTACATGCAGAGCTCAAGGCCTCAAAGTAGATGCCCAAACACTGTTAAGATGCATGTAAATGTTTGCTTTCCTTCATACTTCCTGATGTGCCCTGCATGATCTGCATTTCTCAGGATTTTACAGTAAATTGTGACACTGCTAAGTTTCTTGTTAGAATGTCTGCTGCTGGTATCATTGTAATAACCAAGTACTTATTAAATACACTCTCTGCCATTTTTACACGAATATGAATTAACTATGGTTTTATCAGAAAACTGACGTTAACAAAACTGAATAAGGATTTCCTTGTAACTCTGCCTTCATGGCAGAACTTGCATTACTAGAGAAACAACAGTGACACTATGGTTGACAGAGAGCCAGTATAGGCAGGCCATTTAGCAATTATTAATCTGTTCTATTTAATCATGTTAGAGGAAAGTTTAATAAGTTAGTTTGCTTGTATGATTAAGTAGCTTGTGGGCACAAATAGTTTACTTATGAAAATGCATTTAATTAAAACTAAATAATTATTTCTCTTTACTGAACACTGGGTAGAAGAAATTTCAGTTATTACCAGGCCATATATGAACAATAGATCAATTTGATCACATTTTAATTCACAATTTTCATTATTAGATTAATAAAAATTTAGGATCTATCCATTTTAATGCAATAACTCCGTGACAAATAAGTCAATGACTAATCACTTTATTCCCATAAAGGCTTTGTGTGGGGGAAGATGTAACCGTAAGCGAGTCACCAAAGATCTTATCAGACTCCTTGATATATCCTATCACTGTGAAATCTGTTAGACTGGAGTGTAAGACAGAGCAAATGGCCTCTGGTTGCGTCTGAGGGTAAACAGGAAGTTCTTCGTGACTGCACTGTTAATCTTATCACAATTGAGAAACCTTTCATCTTTTATCACTGTTGTTTGGGAGAAGCTATGGCCAATTAACTGAATAGAGGAATTGCTAGAGGAACAGGAACTTCTTGTGAATGTTATATAAAATGTATACTGAACACAATAAAGCACAACTATTCTGATACTACAAGAAACTGTGAGAGCTCTCTACCTCAACTGATCACTGACAGTTTTCATCTCCCCATTTCCTCTTGCCAAAGGAGTACTGTAGCTGTACAGCCATCTGATACACTCAATCAACCTTTAAATTTTTCCTGTCATGAAAATAAATACAGTATACTTAAAAATAGTACGTAGACAACATTATCATTCATTTGCCTGGTAGTTAGGGTAGTGATGAGTACCATGTGTGGGACTACCATTAATGATTATGATTATAGTTTTCAATTTGACAATTACCCTGAAAAATCTGTTTTCCATCTAGAATTACGTGGAGCTTGCATGTGTTTCCTTAGGACAGTCTATATCTGACAGACACAATTTACTCTTAAGAAACTAAATAAAAACTAGTTAATTATTCGCCCACTGCTGCTGTTGTTTTTGCTCAACTCATTTTCAAGATATTCTGTTATAAAAATAAAGGATTAGTGCTCCTAAAAATTGAATTTTTCTGAATCCTGGCAGTCAGTAATGAATCTTAAAATAGAATAGTCATCCAAACCACTAAGCACTGAAAAGATCAAAGTTCTACTACTGTAATTCATAAACAATATCACCACAATTGCTATTCCTCGATTGCTCATTCCCTTGACAATTAATTTAGGAGAACAAAAGGGGAAAAATTGGTACTTATGTAATAAAAATTGTAATGAGCCTTGGAAATGATTAATTCCCATACAATATAAAATCGTCACATGTTTGAGTTCTCACATGTTCCATTAAGTAGAATTTATACATGATTTTCTATAATATGGAAATAATTGAACAGATGACATTTGCTGACCAAACATGTAATTCTAACCCTGTCAGCACAAATACCAGACAGATTAGTAATGTATATTGCCTCTTCTTTTGGTTGTTTATTAGTGTATTTTAAACTAAATCATATATATGATCTTCAGTGTAATGAGGATTACATGAGGATCATGTAAGATGTTACACTTGACCACTAAGGTCAAAATAAAATCTATTCCATCAAACTTACCAAAAACTACTCTAAAATGACTATGTTGAAAAACAGTATTTTGTAAGTAAGAAATCACACAATGCTATTGTAGTATTGTATCTGTTGTAATTTCCATGGAAATCATAGAGTCACAGAATCTAATGGTTTAGCTTGGAAGGAATCTTTGAGATCACTTAATTCCAGCCTGCTCATTATAGGCAGGGACGCCTCCCTGTAGACCAGGTTGCTCAAAATTCGATCCAGCTTGAATTTGAATTTTTCCATGGAGTGAGGAATCTGTCTGGGCAGCCCATTCCAGTGTCTCACTACACTCACAATAAATAATTTCTTTCTAATATCTAGCCTAAATCTTCCCTCTTCCTGTTCCAAACCTTTTCCCCTTGTCCTGTTACTACATGTCCTTACAAATCCCTCCCCAGCTTTCCTGTAGGCCCCTTTCTGGTACAGGAAGGCCAATATAAGGTCTCCCTGGAGACTTCTCTTATGCAGACTGAGGAGTCCCAAATCTCTCAGCCTGTCCCAGTACAGAAGGTATTCCAGCCCTCTGATCATCTTCACGGCTCTCTTCCAGATCTGCTCCAACAGCTCAATGTCCATTGCCCCAGAATTGAATGTAATACTCCAGGTGGGGTTTCATAAGAGCAGAGTATGTGGAAATAATTACCGTGCTTCTCTTAATGCAATTCAGGATACAGTTGGCCTTCTGGTCTGTGAACATACATTGATGATGACTCATGTTGACTCTTTCAACAGACAACCTCCTGAAATCCTTCTCCTCATGGCTGCTCTCAAGTGATTCTCTGCCAAACCTGTATTTGTGCCTGGGATTGCCCTGACTGAGGAACAGGACCTTGCACTTGGCTTTGTTGAACTTCATGAGTTTGGTATGAGCCTACCTCTCAAGCCTGTCTGGGTCCCTCTGGATGGCATCCATTAAGTCTGTTGTGTCAGTTGTGTCAACTGCACCATTCAGCTTGGTGTCATCTACAAATGTGTGAGTGTGCACTTGATCCTACTGTCCATGTCACCCACAAACATGTTAAATAACATTGGTTTCAACACTGGAATGTCACTCATCACCTGTCTCCAGTTGGATGTTAAGCTGTTGTCCATGACTTTCTGAGTACAGCCATGCAGCCAATTTCTTACTAAGCAAGGGGTCCATCCACCAGACCCATTCTTCTCCAATTTGATGATCAAGATGTCATGTGGGACAGTGTTGAATTCCATGCACAAGTGCAGGTAGATAACATCAGTTGCTCTTCCTTTATCTGCTGGTGCTGTAATTCTATCATAAAAGGCCACCAAGTTTGTCAGGCACAACTTGCCATTGATGAAGCCATGTTTCTTACCATCAGTCACCTCGTCCTTATTTTCCATGTGCCTTAGTAGGGTCTTCAGGAGGATCTCTTCCATGATCTTGTAAGGAACAGAGGTGAGGCTGACTGGCCTGTAGTTGCCTGGACCTTCTTGAAAATGGGTGTTAGGTTTCCTCTTATTCTCTTAAATAGGAGACATGACTTTCAGAGACACTTGTGTGCCAGATTATGTCTTGTCTCACTCCAATTTATAGGAGGGAGAGAAGGTTCTTTTATTATCTATATACCTGGCGTGAGATTAAGAAGCAATGGTTCAAATGTTGGTCCGACCAGTTTATTACAAATCTTAATTAGGGAAATGGGGAAGGGGAGGACGGACACTATTACGAATTAGGGTGATGGGGAAGGGAAGGAGGGCAATAGAAAAGATAGAAAAGAAGAAGCAAGGAGTCTTTGTAGGCAGCAAGAGGGACATAGTCACCACCATGGATCCAGCGTGGTTCGTAGTTCAGTCTTTGATCTTCAGTAGCGGTGGGTTGTCAGGCAGAGTTGTTCTGTTGACAACGACGACCACGACCATGGCGATGATGGCCCTTTTTCAATGCTTCAAAGTGGTTGAGTCAGCTGTCTTTGGAGTGACAGCTCAAACCCAAGGTGGTTGAGTCAGTTCTCCTTGCGGTGGCAGCTTCTGGCTCTGGGATCTCAGCAGGAACCTCCTTTGTTCTTATCTTTCTGGCCTTGCCAGCAGATAAGAGGAAGCAGGGAGGCACCAACTTGCATCTTGCCTTCGCAGGATACAATGGTATCATCCCCCAGCCTCCCATACTAAGCTGGAGCGGTTTGGTCACAGGCCAGATCTTCCACCAGTGAACACTCCTGAGCACTCTCTTCCGCTCTTCTACAGAGCAAGCAGCTCTGGGGGGGGAAGGGGCTTTCAAATGTTCCCAAAGTGATATCGATTGTCACACAGTTAGCACCCATCAGTTGCCTCCTTGACAAGTCACTCATAGTCTTATCACAAGAAAAACCTCAGGAAGCAAGCTTTGAGCCAAAAA